CCTCCAACCTAATAGCAATGGCTTCCAACCTAATAGCGATGGCCTCCAACCGAATAGCAATGGCCTCTAACCTAATAGGAATGGCTTCCAACCATTTCCAACCTAATAGGAATTGCCTCCAACCTTATTATAGGAATGGCCTTCAACCTAACAGTGATGGCCTTCAACCTAATAGCGATGGCCTCCAACCTAACAGGAAGGTCTACAACCTACGAAGAATTGCTTCCAACCTAATAATTAGATCAGCCTCCAACCCAATAGCGATCGCCTCCAACCAAATGGCGATAACCTAATAGGAATGGCTTCCAACCTAATGGCGATGGCCTCCAACCTTGTTCCTGAGAACAGATGGGCCACGCGGCGAGTGCGGCGTTTGACCTTTCCTCTAGGGTTTTGCGATGAGTTTGCTGGATGTGCTAAGGAGATGCTGACAGCGAGGCAGCACGGTGAACCACCATCACCCTATACTGCCGCTCAGGTTTAAGTGCCAGGCTTGACTATGAACATGTAGATAGCTTGGACATGTGGATGCAGGATTGTGGAAACAGCATGTGACTTGCCCTTGGTTTCAGAGCCATGTCCACAAACCGCTACAGCATCTATTTAACGCTGTTTCCTTCGAGTGACGAAGTGCCTGAGGCATGGTACTTCCACCCTGATCCAGTGGCCGCGTCTTTTCCTGACAACCTGTGGGCTGGCCTCTGAGATTTGGAGATTCACCCAGAAGAAATGAGTGAATCTTGATGCATTTTCCAACTGTTTTGGACCAGGAGCCTCCATTTTGGGATTCTGGCGACGAGTGAGCAACTCAGAGCACATTTATTATGAACAGCAGATCAGAAGTTCCAGGTGCGACTCGAATCGTAGATCTTGGCACAAGAGCTTGCAAGGACCTCAGAGAGAAAGAGAGAGAGAGGGACAAGAGTGCAAGGCAACTGTCAAGCACTTTAGTAGCAATGGATAGCATGAGATTGCATCTCAAGTTCCTAACACTGATCAGAGCAAACTAAGCATATAAAGCCACCCACACTAAGGCAATTTCAGCACCTTCCTGCATTTCACTCAGAACAGTCCTGGGCTGAGCGAGTTCACATATTCCTTTGGAGGAAAGCCTTACTTTCCTGATTGGATGGAAGTTGAAGACAGTTAAACTGATTCCCAATGATCCCAATGCAGTTGTGAAGTCATTTGATTCCCGAAAGAACTCCTAGTAGCTTCTTGTTCCTAGTAGTAAGGCCAGGAGTCCCTAGTAGCGTCCTTGCTCCTAGTAGCGATGCCGTTCCGAGCCACCATGACAGAAATAGGTTTGCCAACCAAACATGTTGAACCCCCAACCCGACTCAAAACATTTGTTTGGTCAAGCATGTTCATAGAACCATTATTTTATCAGCTTCTATGATCCCAAAGAATTTGACTCACATGTGTGTGTGTGTGTGTGTGTGTGTGTTTGTTAGTAATTAGTTGGAAAAAGGCTGTGAATGATGGAGTTGGGGTTGGGACGAAGATGAAGAAACTCAAAGCCTCTCACTTCAAGGGCTCGAGCGCCCCAACGTGGGCACAAAAACCTAGCTGTGTTTGTCAAGGGAAGATGTTTTTGGTCAAGGCCCTTTGCTTTAGCATCGTGGCTGCGCTTGACTTCCCACAGGGCGCTCCTGTGGATTGGGAAGATGGCCCATTGCCTTCCACGCGGGCTGCATGGGTTCTGGTTGATGCCAAGGCTGGGCAAATCCAATTGCCATGGCAGCTGGCTGAATGTGGCATAGCTGGCGTTGCGTTTGCTCTGTGCGTGATCTTTACGTTGCTTTGCTGGCGACACGGCCTACCGGGCCAGGAAGTAGATTTGGAGGCGGGGCTAGGCGACTGGGACGCAAGGTGCGCGTGGGACGCAAGGTGTGGACGCGGCATCCGCGTGGGACGCGAGGTGTGCAAGCCAAGATCTTACAAGCGCGCGTCAAGATCCTGTGAATCAAGTGGCCTGGAGCGTTTCGAAGATCCAGGGCTGGCTAAAAGCGAGAGCAAGAGCTGCAAGCTTGGCGCGCTCGGCCTTTGGACCGGTTGGGCATGAAGATGCTGCAGGACTTTGCAAAAAGAGCTGGGCAACCATGTTTTACAACCTCCGCGACTTTGATCTTGAAGACCTCTTGGAGGAGAAGTCTGGGCAGGATGCTACATGGCGCGCAATACAAACTGCCCCTGCACTGTTTCAGCAAGCTCCAGCGAGCGTTGCAGCGCATGCGCTTCAAGCTTTGAAGGCTTTGAGGCTTGCAGACTGACCCTTACCCGCCTTTCAGGCGATGTGGGCACAGCTGCGGTGTCGGCTGAGGAACTGCAAGAAGAGCCTCGGCTGCACTGAGACTTTTGGATAGCCGAAAGCGGGCTGTTGGCGCCGTGCTCTGTTTTTGATTCACCCAAACAAATTACCAAAATTGGGTTTGTCATCGTATGGGCGTTTGTAGCAAACCCTGCGCCCAAATACCAGGGCATCTTTGTGTTGCTGGGGTGAGGTTCACAGATTTAAGGTCCGTGGCCATGTGATTGCAACAACGAAAGTGGTAGGTGGCCCCCTTTATGAGGTGCATCGGCTTTCAAACGGCGCCGCCTGCGGGAAACTCACCGGTCTTGGCTGTTACCAATGCGTCGGCGCTGGACGCCGTTTGCTGGAAACCTGGAGCAAAGAACCCGGGACGCCGGACATTCTACCGTGGTACTTCTTGCAGCGCCAAGTGCAATTCAATTTTACCTCTGCTGTGAGTATCGCTTTCTGACGGAAGCCAGAACCTGCGTGGAAAGAGCCTTGTTGTACTTGAGTTGCCGAGCTCCCTACCGTCACGCAGCAATGCTGAAGTATGTGTAGCAAGGATGGGCGCAGCAAGGACGGACTTCAGTGCACTGTGACTGTGGCTGCAGCGAGGCTGGGGAATCAAAATGGCTGGTTCATCCGCGAGTGATCTTGGCTACAATTTCTCCACTGAAAATGCAAGCGGCATCCAGCGCAGATCCTTGTGATAGTATCAACTATATGATGTTTTGCAATGTTTTGCCAGGGGCTGTGCAGGCTGTGCATTACGTCCACTCCACCAGTCGTGGTCATGTGGTCACATGGTTGGCGGTGACCAACTACTTCACCCAGTTCAAGGTTGATCAGCAAAGATCACAAGGGCTTCCCCACCAAGAACTGTTTGAAGAAACTAAGGGGCGATTCAGCCCATAAACCCAAAGTATGGCCTGCTATTCACATTCAGAATGGGGGCCAATCATGCTGATAAGGTAGAAGATCGTCACAAACCCTGCATTTGGTTTTCTTCATGAACAAGGCCTTGGTTCGTCAACGCTGGGTGCTTCATTCCGAAGAAACTCGAGAGGAAAAACCTCGAACTGGGAGGAGCCCCTAGTAGTTTCTTGTTCCCGAATTCAAGCACTACGTATATTTTTGAAGTTTGCCTAAAAGACTGATTCGTAGAGAAAGAGATCAAAGAAACTCCTTGTCAAAGGTCAAGACAGACCATGCCAGCGGCTGTCCCTCCCGGTGACGAAGCCGCTGCACGTGTTTGGTGGTGTTGGAGCCTCGCATTAACCAATCTGAGCTAAACGATCTAAAACCAGTTCTGTTGGTGCGAATCTGAGAAGGACAAGTGCAAACACAGAGATCCTTGAGGTGGAAGCAAATCCTCCCTGCTTTGCACTTCTACCGCGGCACATCGTGACCCCTTCCGCAGTCTTATGTATAGTTCGAGGCTGAGCATTGAGTCTTATGACAGTTGTCCTCCACAGTCCACAGTGCCCTTCAGTGCCCTTCGGGCCGTTCCAAGGTACAAACCCAATGCTTTTTCGCACAGAGACATGGCGCCTACATGTGATGAGTTACATGACACTCTTGCAGGAGACTGCGTGACACTGCCACCTTTGCAAACAAGTTGCGTTTCTCCGTCAGCTGCAATGCTGAATGAATCATTGCAGCAATATTACATAAATACCGAGAACAAGCAGCAAACTCCAAAATGTGTTGACATCTTCTAATTACAGGACTTGCGAGCGGTCGAGGAGGCCTTCACAAGCTCATATACGTGCTGTACCAAGTACTTTGCCAAAGAGACGGTATCAAGCTGTGCAAAATGAGGATTCCTGCATCATTTTTCCCCTCTCCATGATATTCTCAAAAAATACCATCCAACTCGCACCCCATACTACCACACACACACACACATAGGTGGCGCGTTGATCCGAGCTTTGTGGAGAGCTCAGTTCGGCCACTGGAGTCCATGAAGTCCATGGTGTAGCGATGCCCTTTGCTACTAGTAGCTTCTTCTAGTAGTAAGGCCAGGAGCCCCTAGTAGCGTCCTTGCTCCTAGTAGCGATGCCCCTTTTTCGCCAGGTGCTTGGCTTATCCCTGGGTCTCTTCCGGCATCGACGATTGGATCGGAGGTGGGGCCAACGATGAATGTGGTTGAATGGGTTCGGCGGATTCGGCATCCAAAATCCAAAACCTAATATATAAACAATCTATAACAAGATTGGACGAGGGCAACATGCAGCAGCAAGATATTGTGTATGATTGATTATGACTATGAGTTGGAGCTAAGTTTCAGTAAATTTGGTCACTTGGTCTTTGTGCATCGTTCGCACTGTGGGCTGGGAGAAATGTGTGTGTCAATGTGGCTTACACTAATCTCGTCAGAGGAGTATGCCTGATTCCAATGAAGATCCGCTCGCTGCCGGTTGCATTCAGGCTCGCATGCACTACCGTATCTCTTTTTTAGCCCGCTCCTACTTAATTATATAAGTACGCGCCAACTTAATGAAGTAAGGGAGCAAGCTAATTACTAGGCTAAGTTTGCTTCTAGGTAGCGCAGGATAGCACGCTTCTTGAAGGAAGCTGCCCGCGCCTGAGGGCGGGGGGAGCTTCCTTGAAGAGGCGCTCACACTGATGATTTGGTTCCTAGATCTTTAGATGCATTCTACACTGCACCCGGCAATGGGGAGTCGAGAAGAGGGGAAAAGTCAGAAAAGAGATTTGTGAAAGCAAATGACTAAACAAGAATCACTTGTCAATCCGGAATCCTTTGCACAGGCAGCTAGTTCGGACAGCCCCTGGATCCAAGCAAAAAGACGGCTGCCGTGCTTTCTTTTCATTTGCCAAGAATCAAAGGTAGATGAGATTGTTGGCCCTCGGCCTGAGCTTCTTGGCTCAAAGGGATGTCAAGGCAATACTGTAGATTGAAACAAAGCAATGTCAATATTGAACTGTCATCTCTTCCAAGATTTCTTGCATATGCTTCAGATGCAAAATCTTCAGGATCTGAATATGTGTTGCAATTATGTAGACCTATCGGAGCAACTCAAGCTATCGCGAAGACTTGCAAAGAACGAAAGCCTGGAAAGCCTTTTCAAGTTTCCGCAAAGCGATGTGGCCTTTGGGAGATGGGGAAAGATGTGGATTTGCACGTTCCTTCGAAGGAAATCCCACGTGTGCGGTATCCAGAACAGCTCTCGCGTGAATCCTTTGAGCGGGATTTTGCCGCCAAGAGCGAACCTGTGATCATTGAAGGACTTGTTTCAGACTGGCCTGCATTTGCAGATCCTGAGAGAAACTGGCGTGGCTGCAGATGGGACGAGTTCATGGGCAATGAGGTCCTTGATGTCGGCTTCGACCCATTGGATGGACGTATGATGCATTTCGGAGATGATACAGGTGAGCCACGGCCAAAGCCAATTGGTGGGCGGTGAAGAGTTTCAAAGTCCTGTATACAAAATACATTTACACATGTCATATGTATCCATTCAATTCCATTCCCCCATTGCAAAGATTCTGAGATTCTTGACACGGCTCAGGTGAAGCCAATGTGCTTTTCAACCCTGGACGGCTACGAATGCCGGCCTGGGCCTTCTTGGAAGTGGCCCGCTTGAGACAGATCATCCTCCGTTTGCGACGTGAAGAAGGTGAGGTTCATTCTTCCTAAGCAAATTCTTGTTCAGAGAAAGATGGCGCCAGAATCTTTCAACAAGGCATCGAATCAAATAGTAGAAGTTGCACGACACGGCATTCAGGGTAACCTTGGTAGCTCAGCATACATGCGAAGCACTGTGAACTTGGAGACTGCATCTTCTGGGAGTGTTTTGGAGCCCTTGAGGCAAAGTTGACCTCAAAAAGCATGCAGACCTACACGGACGGCTGTCCAGACGATGTCTCAGTTCTCAAAGCAGCATCAAGATCTAGCAGTATGATCGTACAGTCGAGCCTTCCGTGCAATGAGCCAATGAGCAAACCTGAAGTCGGACGGCATTCCTCAATTGATTTAAAGAGTTGAAAGTCGCGCCTAGTAGCGTCCTTGCTCCTAGTGTATGGCCAGGAGCCCCTAGTAGCGTCCTTGCTCCTAGTGGCGACATGGCTTGTTACGTCCACCCTGATTGGTTTACCGAGGAGAGGTGTCGGTCCAAAATGTGCCCTTTCTTTCTGTAGATGCAGATTCACCGCTGACTCCTCAGTTTCGACAGCTCAGCTCATGCGACAGCTCCAAGCTTCCTGCAGTTGCGAGGCTTCACCTCTTTACTCCATTGACCTGCCATATTCGTGATTTGATGCTTGGGGGCCCAGCAGGGGGCGACTTCCCTCACTATTCTAAACAAAACAAGGCTAGGAGAGGGTAAAATGATCAATCAAATCCCCCTGAATTATGTTTTTCCTGCCCACTTAGGCCCTTGTCATTCTATCTCTCTCATGACACCTACGCATTGCCAGAAGAGTTGCAGAAGGCGGGTTGTCCCAGACTGATCCAGTACTGCCGTCTATTTTGGCCAAGTGAAGATAGGATTGACAGATCGAGCCTGCAACAATTCAGTTCACCAGAGTTTGGCCCTACAAAAGTTCGAAAGTCCCACTCCACTTTTCAGAAACTTGGGAGGTATTGACTTCTACAATCCAGGTGTAAACCCTAAAGAAGATGAAAGAGGAAGTTCATGTGCCGATCAGTGCTTCCGAGTGATGAACCAAGGACTTGGGTCCACAGGCCCCCAAGCTGATTGATGGATGGGCCAGTTTGTTGCTCAGCTTTGACACGCTGATTCTGATGAATGTGAATGTCTTAGTCTTGGGACCAGATACACGAGGCTAGTATCACGCATTCAACTTTATCGCCAGTAATAGCAGTGCTGTGATGTTTTGGAAGCTCACGGAGCATGTAGACACTTCTACACGAGAATTCAGGATGGATGTGGTGTGAGTGAACAGCTTTGCGCATGGTGTTGTGGTTTGCTCGAGTAAAGGCCCCAATTCTTCGCGCATTTGGGCAACGAATGGGGCGCCTTGGCCGGGGTCTCAAGCGATGTTAACTGCAGCCTGTCTATCTGGGACTCGAATGGGATCGATTGGGCTGATATAGCTTTATTGTTACTAATAGCAAGAATGCTCCTAGTAGTAAGGCCAGGAGCCCCTAATTGTTACTAGTAGCGATCTCCCCACGGACTCGATTCATCTCGATTCCTATCCTTTTTGTGTTGATGGATGCTGATGGCCACTCTTCGGTCAAGGCGGGTGCCGTACCCACCATGGTTTGATCAGACGGTGCCCGAGCCCGGGGAGGCTCGAATTCTGTTTCCGTTGAGCTGCTTGGATGCTCAGAAAACAGGACACGATGATCTACAGTTGCTTCCATTGTGACCGAATGGAGACTTTGTCAGCACTTTTGAAGTACCGTTGGAACGGCCCAAAGTGCCCCAAGATGCCCTTTATCCTTCACCTTCACTTGAATCCCAGTTTGCGGAGCTGATGTTAATATATAGTCCTTCATCCAGTCAAAGCCATTCAGGTCGTTTGTCAGGTGGACTGGTGTTGATCCGAACGGTCAGACTATGTTTGGACAGAGCCACAACACTTTCAAGACGTTTGCAGTTGCTTGTCTGGTAGTTCTTTGTTTGGTCCTAAATGAGCTAGCTAGAGATGGCCACGGCAGAACAGTGGCAGGCATGTGTTGGTGGAGGTAGCCAATAACCTCATTCCGACTGTTCAACTCTTACAAAAACATATTTATGCCTATTAGAGGCCATTGCTACTAGGTTGGAGGCCATTGCTATTAGGTCGAGGCCATTTCAACTCTTTTCCAACATGACGTTTCGACTCAAAATTAATAGTGGTCATGGGATCGGTTCTTTTGCGACCGTTTGTCGCACAAGTCACCTCAAGTAACCAAGTTCCCAAGTTCACCTTGGTGCCACACTTTGCCAGCACGATTTGCCAACACAAAAGGCGAAAGCATGCTAAAGCCATTGCCAAATATCTTGGAGAAGGGCTCTACTTGGCCTTGTCAGGTTCTTATGTTGTTTTGCAAGATGCTGGCCTATGGAATACCATAAGGTGCACCAAAGTTGAGGTACACTTCATGACTAAGAGCTAACCAAAACAAAGCCGTTTGCTCCTGGCGAGGGCCAACACTGTGTATGGAAGCTTCTTCCCGGGGCATGCCTGATCTGATCAGCTTGAGGAAAACTTTCACTCTATCCTGGCCGGTGAGAAGCAGGTGCTGCAGACATTAAACTGAAAGTTGCATGTCCGTGCTACACTATGAAAAATATTGAAAAATGGCTCGGCTTAATGAAATTCAATAGATAAGGACTTTAATCTCAAAGACTGGCTCAAGAAGTATTGAGCACTGAGGTCATAGTATATCATATCGCACCGGTGATTGATACGAGTATCATGTAAAGGAAGATAGTCCACATGTTGTCCATATCAAGATCAGCTGATCCATACTCAACACCAGGAAAGTCGACTGATAGGTGGTCTTGGTGCCGCCTGGCCAGCATGATGTCCTCAACTCGACAAGATTTGCGGCACAAAAGCTTTGCCCTCAGCGGAGAGCTGAAATGCAGTCCACAAATTGCCCTGCCATTCTGAAGGCCAGGCCGTAGAATTCAAACATTCCCTTGGGGTAGCTCCCTCAAAAATTGTGGCTGTTTTGTGGAAAGTCGTGATCCTGGCTGAGGCAGTGGCTTTTGGTGCCAATGCCGGGACCCAGCAAGCCAGGGCAGTATATGGGCTCTACCTTGCCGGGCATCCCAAAACCAGGTATTTGACTTGAGGTTCGCTGATCAAGCGCTCCAATCAGCAATTGATACGGGAGAAAGTCGATTTGTTGATGTCTCCCCAAACTCAAACCGCAGCTGTGCTAATAGGAATGCGAAAGGGTTTGGGCAGTTTCATTACTGGAGCTTCATACCAGTTTGGTGTTTGTTTTCCCCTACTGCCACACTGTCAGACAGGTTGAGTTGTTCGCACCTGCCTGCCAGGTATACCTCGAAGCAAACGGAATGCACCAGCGACCAGAGCGCAGTGCATCCCTTTCGATCGCCAGAGGAGAACCGCAAGGTGGACAGGTTAGTGTTGCAGAAGGCATACAAAGGCCACAGCATGTCTTTGATTCTTTTACTCGCTCAAGATGTTGAGCATGTTCTGTGGCAAGCTAGGTTCGCAGACCACACAACACAAAACAAAACACTCAAGGAAACCAAACATGTGGCAGACGGAGCGAGCCGAGCGAACGCGCCACACCCAGCTGAGACCGCAAGCGAAGCATCACTCTCTCAGAGAGGCACGAAAGCCGAACCCAATTCACACCGGAATCTGTCTCAGAAGCATTGCCCACCCCAGCAAAAGACCCAGACAACGGACACGCCGCCAAGTAGTAAACACCAACCACCACCACCACACCAGGCAAACAACAAACCAGATCCGGGGACAAAGGCCACAACACGTTTACGAAAATATTGAAAATCCTTGTGATTTTGCTTGACTTGTCGACCTTGTGCATTCATTCTTGCTGTGCATCGTTTTGGGAACTTGATTCAGCCTTCGTCAAAGAGAAAAGGGAAGAAAAGAAAGATACAGTGAGGAACCGAAGGACAAGCATAAACTAGCATAAAGGATAGAAAATGGATAGCTCAGATAGCAGGATAGAGAAAAATAATGAAAAAGAGCTGGGATTGGATGGCACCTGCAAGTGCTTGCTTTCGGATCTTGCCTTTGGTTTACGCTTTTTCAGGTCTCCAGAGGCCAATGGCCAGACCATGTAGACTTCCCAGTGCGTCATGGGAAGCTTCGAAAGGGTGACACGCCTGGATTCCTGGGTCGCCACAGAGCACTGAAAAACTTAGATGCTGACATGATGTGATTTAAGCTCCTTGACGTAAATAGTATTAAAGTGACTGCACAGGAATCGCCTACTAGACGTAAATGTGTCGTTGACAGGCCACTCCGTGCCGTTGAACATGGCTCACTTTTTGCGATAAACAATCTCCAGCCTGAGGTTGTACATACCAGCCTACCATTGGCACTGGGTTGCCACCTCGACGCCTCCATCCATTGGTGTAGAGGTTTGCCAATCAAGTCACGTCACATGCTGTCCTACTGAAACAATTGAATCACAGACAGACAGGTTTGCTTTGAGGGACTGGAATTTCCCACTTTCGTCAGGATGAGGGTGCGTTAGCCTTGTCTGTAAACTTCTGGTGCTTGCCTCAAAGGATGCTGCAAAGCTCGTCCATTTGTGCGCTCCGTGTTTTTGCTTCATGTGCTTACCTCTCAGACTTCGGGATGCCAAAGAAGGCCAGCTTGACTCAATGTCCACAGGCATAAGAGTTTGTGGGGTAAGGACTAGAATATAGTGTAGATCGCCAGGAGGAACACGGTCCTGATGGGCTGAGGTGGTGGCCAATTCACAACGACAAGGTCGGGAGATTTAGTCAGTCACAATACACTGAAACACGGTCTCCTGAGTAGTGGAGGCAAGCGAAGCCAACCCCCTTTTTCTTAGCCCGGGGGGTAGGCCCAGAAGAGGTAGTAGCTAGGTAGCTAGTAGTAGGTAGTAGCTGTAGGTTAAGTAGCTACTCCCGACAGGACGCAGACTAGCTCACGCTTCTTCAAGGAAGCGCTCGCACTATTCGTTTGGTTCCTAGATTTTTAGTGAAACTTATATAAGTTCCCCCTTACAACTTATGTTGGCTGGGCCCTCTTTCAGCAGGCAATGGAGCAGTGGAGCTATCAGAATGAATGTGAGTGCATGGCCGCAGTTTGGATGTTGTGCTGTGCAACAGAAATGCTGCCACCCTCACCTTCTTTGAGCCATTAAAGTGGGAATCAAGAGTTTGCAACTTGCAAAGACATGAACCTGAATGGTATTGCCAAGGTCATTCCAGAATGCCAGAATACCTATGTGGCGCTCCCAGTGAGTATTCCCTGCTTGCAGCAAACCCGTAAAGCCAGCTTATGTCAGCATGCGCCAACAGCGTTCTCTTTTTTGGTTTTGGACGGTTTTGGAGTCTTGAAATAATCAACGAAAGCTGAGATCCAAGCCATCGCCTGACCGGGCATCCCATGCCGTGTCTTTCTATCAGCTTACGATGAAGCAGAGGCCTTTTGCCCTGTGCGATGACACGTAGACGCACCAGTTGAGTTGCCTATTAGCAAGGTTTGAAAACTAGTTGGGACAGCTTTATAGACAGTTCAAAAGCGGAATCCCGAAGCGTTTGCTTGATGCCCATGACGAGTGGCTTTGGCTTGTAGGCAGGAGGCTGCTGTGCCGAGGCCGTGGCCCACAGGCGGAAGCGAAATGAAGCGAACAGCTTGTGCTGCTATATTCCTTGCTCCTAGTAGCGATGCCCTTTGTTCCTAGTAGCTTCTGGCCAGGAGCCCCTAGTGGCATCCTTGCTCCTAATGGCTATGAATCAGAAAGCAATCTCATGTCATGCTCTGAGACCCTGTCCCTAGCCCTCATGTGGCAAAGCCCAAGCATCGAGACGGCTACGCCAAGAAGGCTCGGATCCCTTATAGAAAAAGACTTATATAAGAAACCTAAGAGCGATGGCCTCCAATCTAATAGCGTGATCACTAGAAGTCTTGTTTGGTCCCTGTTGCTCGAAAGCAAGCAACTTGACAACTATTGCAAGCCTGGAGGCCTCTGGTGTGGTAAACAATGGCAAGCACGGCAAACACATATAATTAAATAGCACAAAGATTCGATGCCCAAAGTGACCCGCAAATACGATTGTATTCAACAATGCCCGTGGGCCTGTGAAGCACTCGAGGCCATCAAGTTCGAGTTGGTTGACTGATGGCTGTGGTTCATACGAGATGACAAGTGCCGTCAGAGCGAGAAAAGTATCCATTGATCTCCTCTGCTTCTGTGGCTGAAGCCAGCTTGTGGATGAAAAGCTGATGTTCTAGCCTTGCTGAGTACTGGTTGTTTCCTGGTATGCAGGCATTGAGATCACCCTTCCGGTGTTATTGCTGAAAGGTTGACTGCCATGAAACATCAAAGCATCGGCAAATGAATGACTTGGTCAGCGTACACTGCAGACTGTTGGGTAGTGCTGAACGTGTATGACATGTGTTTTTCAGTTTATTTTCAAAGGTTCTGTGTGAAAATATCCTACCAACTGTGGCCAACCCCATGCAGAAAGGCAGTAAAGATACGTATGCCTACCAGGTTCCCCCGCTGTCCCATAGATGAGGAATGCAAAAATAACCTTTCTGAGCTGCCCAAAAGGGCTTGCTTTGTATACACCAAGCATGGTCAAAGTATGGCACCATGCCGGAACAGCCAGCAGAGAGCCCAGGCCGGCACGACGTTTGAACAAGCTGTCAGGTGGCAAATATCAATCTATCTACTGTAGAAACAAAGAGTTTGGAGATGTGCGATCCTGTCTAGTGCGCAATACGATTGATTGATCTACTGAGAGACACGTGCCTTTGACCTTACAGAGTGGCATTGCCTGTAGTTCTGTGTGTGTGTGTGTGGGGAGGCCTTCAAGCACTCCTGTGGCTGTCGAAGCAGTGGGAGGCCTTCCGCAGATGGCTGTGGCCCTGTCAAGGGACCACACAGTTGGAGGTGGTGCACCTCGACATCAAAACCTGACCGACAATACTCGTACCGACTGCCGATGCGGTGCAAGACACCAATGGATAGGACCAAGTGGACCCTCCTATCCGCGGCAGGGGGATACTTGCTACAGGATGAAACGCTTGATTCAAAAAGAATATACAGTAGTGATAAAAGATTTTAGAAGAAATGTATGGTGTTGGGCCAGCCTTAATAAGGAGCCTCCTCTATTCCTTATTAAAGGTTGCCAAACATCTTCATTTTTGATCCTTTTTGTATATTGTATTGTCTTATGAGTCTTATGTGTTTGTGTTGTCGTAACTTTTATGTTTCTTCACCAAGGTTTCAGGGAGGCGCTATGCTTCGGGAGGGCTATGAAATGACCTCCCCCGAGATTGCCTTGGTGCATCGTGGCGAGAGAGTGCTTCTTTTGCAAGAGGCACCCAGAGGAAGTGGCAAGATGTGGCAAGTGTGTGTTTTTCTGTTCTTTTGTTGAGTTTTATTATGTTTTATGCTTGTCTTTGGTTTGAATGCTTTGCCCGCCACAGCGATTCTGTCAATTCTTCATACAGGTTGGCCGACGAGCTCAAGTGCGCACTGGCGATGGTTTTGTCGGCTGGCTCTCTTTCTCCACTGCCGAGAATGTGCCAATTGCACAGAAAGTCCGGCTTGAAGGAAGTGCTGGCAAGGCTGATCTTGCTTACGATGGTTTGAGAAAATGTAAAAGTTGAAAGATTGCCAAATCAAAGGCGCCGTTGGTTCCAAAGCGGATCTGCAGGTTCGTCGAAAAGAGGATCCCTCTAGCTTTCGAGAAGAGTTTGAGTCCAAGTGGCGCAGGCCGGAAGCGAACTGGAAAGCGAAGTGCTCATGTCGTTCATTGTATGTTTGTAGGGACTGTCAACCATCACCAGCCATGCCTGGGTGCAATGCCTCAGCTTATCGAGCTAGCCTGAAGTTGTCCTATCTTTGATCATTGATCCAACCCCTTTTCCTTGCTTTATTTCATCCATTGTTCCTAATTTTGCATCAACCTTCCTGCCACCTCGTCGAAAAAGAGCCTTCCACAACCAGAACCTTGTACAGGATGCACCGCATGAGCGTATGAGCGTTTGGTGGGTGGATGATGGTTCAAGAACGCGGTCACCTTTTTGAGCTTTATTACCTCGGAGTCGATGAAAAGTAGAGAGAGAGAGAGGGGAAAAATATGTGTGTGTGTGAGATTCTTAGAACAGTAGAGGCTCCTAAGTGGGACCAAGCATTGCTAGGTCTTCCCAGTCTTCTTGCCAGGCTCCGGACAGATGTGGGACCTCCAGAGGCCCACATGCACTCGCTGCGGCAGAGCTCGGGTCGAATCCCAATCAGTCAATGGCGACCAGGTGGCCTTGACTCGCAGAAGGAAACATGTTTCTTTCTAGAATTAAGACTTGCGACGACAGGCAACCACTGGAAATGTAGATTTGTCTTTGTGAGGTCCTGAGTCCTGAGTAAGAACTCAGCAAGAAAATAGTGAACATAGGTTGGGGTGTTCGTGCAACATGTGAAAAAAAGCAATCAAAAAGTGATTGCGGAGACATAGGAAAGCAAATCATGGAATCATGGACAGGAAAATAGTGAGCAAATAGCAAGAAAATAGTAAGAAAATAGCGAGCATACTACTGACATATTGTGAAGCGCCTCCCGAAACGACACATGACGTTTATATGTTAGGTTTCGATTCTGGATTGCGTTTTTGATCACATTTTGATCACCTTTGTTTTGACTTCTTGTTTTTGCTATCCAAATAGTTCAATCAAATCACCTTTGGATCGCTTTCTGCTCACCTTTCCGCTCACCGTTTTTTTGACTTGTCCCCTATCCTGCACTCTGAGATTGCTTTTCGTTTGCTCCAACTCCTACTCCGAAATCACGAAAAAAAAGCCACCCTCAGCGGTTGGCTGGACTCCATCTCTTAATTTTAGAAGAAACTCAGCGCAAGTTCCTTGGAGCTCAGGTCCTCCAGGATATTGGAGGATATCCTCTGTTTGAATGTTTTGCGTTTTGGCTTGCTTCGTTTGGTTTTCTTTCAGGCTCCCCAAGCTGTGCGACTACCACCATCCATGCTTAAAGATTCACAATTCATGAGTGAAATGACGACCAAGAACGCTATTAGGGGCTCCTGGCCTTACTAGGAACAAGGACGCTACTAGGAACAAGTGCATCGCTTCTAGTAACAAGTGCCTTACTAGTAGCAACAAGAAGCTACTAGGGGCTCCTGGCATCGCTACTAGGAACAAGGA